CTTTTTCGCCTTGATCGAAGAAAAATTGCAAATTATAGCGAATTTTCTCTTTGCTGTTGTCCATCTTTGACGAGCGCTTACAATGTACACAGTCAATGAATCGAAAAACTGTCAAAGACAAACTTTTAGCGCGAATAAACACATTTGCAGCGCCGTAAAGTATGACATGATGCGACACGTAACCCTAGTTCCATGGATAATAACGCCAACTCTTAGATAAAAGCCGAACTTTTTACTGGACCAATATATAAGATTTAATTATACTAGTATATGGATATATTACATATATATTATATATAGATGCAGATATAATATATCTACACCTCCATGTTTGTACATATGTGAATTTGAATTTGATTTGATAGTTTGAAAATCAGCTTTCTCCTCAATAAATGAAACAAACTGAAAGGACAGTTTTCTAGTATTCTTTATTTTGTTTTCCCTGGCTTACGTTAGCTGCATAAATCACATATAAAGCACTTAAAAATTTTAGATACAAATTTTATAACTTATATAAGGTCAGTAATGATAACCAACATATCAATACATATTTATGTGATCGATAAGTTTCTTTAAATAAAATCTTATTAAATAAAAAATAAATGTTTGTTTGTTAGTGACACTAAGGCTCGAGAACGGCTGCACCATTCTTGGTGAAATTTTTAGAGATTGTTGGTTGTGGATCTGGGAAGATATAGTAGAAACACCTGAGAAAAAGTGGGAAAATTCCGAAATGTTTGAAGTACGAATTTTTATTTTTTAATTTGTTTTTTCAAATCTATCTATTCTTAAACATTTTTTTTTCTTACTGATTTGTTTATTCGATGAGTTTTCGTTTTTTTTGTAAATATACCATCCACATATCCATTGGAATTTTTTTGTGTTATTTCTTCAGCTGATTTGTAAATTATTTGAATAGTTCAATTTCGATTGTTTCCTTTTTTTATTTCCGCTCTTAATAAGCTAAATTATTGTAAATGTTTCAGTTAAAACTTTATGTATGTTTCATTCAAAGTGATCAATTACAGATTGAAATTTGTTACGATGCCACGAAGAAGTCGCGCTACAGCAAGGGAATCTGCTCTTAGCGGAATGATTGAACATTGTGCGCGAGACTTTCTTTTCAAAACATAATTTTAACAAGTCCTAAAACGTTTTCGAAATACATATATTCGCTCTAAGAAGTGTTGTTCCAATATTCCCTTTGCATGTCGTACTGTGGGTAGCGTATTGGACTGCAAATATTTTTTCTGAACTTTTTATATCCAATAATGTCTGATGAGCGCCAACACCAACAGCAATGTTGAACGCATAATAACTCTTGCAACTCGATAAACCAAGAATAAGCTCTACAAGTCCCTCATGAAAGGAATAGTTGGAAGGTAAATACCAGAATAACTTCAAGCAATTTCTCCGCAAATATTGCAACACATTCAGCAAAGATGGGAACAAACCAGGCTTTTGAAAAACTTTGTTGATACTAGTGACGCTAGACCGATTTGTTTAATTTTCCACTGTTCAGACGCGAAACAGTGAGTCAACAGTTAAAAGAAATATGCGAAAGTGGTGTTACTGAACAATCAGAAAATCCATGGAGCTCGCCGTTAGTATTATATGTGTGAAGAAGAAAGATGATCATTTGCGGTTCTGCTTACGCAAAGCCGTTCTCGAAGACTTTACTTTTCAATTGCCTACTCAGCCCAAAGTAGCCCCTGATGACAAGAGTGCTTCTGAGCGGTTGTTGAAGCTAATAGTGTGATTATCATCGGCGTGCTGCTGCTCACTCTTATAGAAGATTGTACTTCCTCTATTCTGCTCTGCAACTCGTATTACTTTCTCAAGCTAAAAATCAAAGATATCACCCGATACAGAGGCACCCTGTCGGAATCCTCATTTGGTATCTAACGGCTCGGAGAGGTCCTTCCCGATCATCACTTAGCTCTTAGGGTTGCTTAAGGTCAGTTTACATAACTGTATAAGTTTTACGTAGGGACAGCTCCTATCGTGCTGTCGAAGGCTGCTTAAAAATCGGCGAAGAGGTGGTGTATGTCGATCCTCTACTTTCATCCGAAAGGAGTCATTTTTGAATAGCTCTGTCCGTTAGCTAGATATTCACAATTCACCATATCTTGGAACCGAACCATGCAAAAAGAAGTGGCATTTACCTGCCTTCGACAGCACAAAAATGATCTGCCTCTGCGCCACTATGTCTCAACTTTGAGTTCGTAGATAATTTCGACTTTCTAAGAGCCAGTATGAACATCAAATCCAACATAGAACCCCTGTTATGAATAAGTGGACTAGTAGGCAGCTTAAAAGTAAATCCTCTCTAAAGGAGCAAATGGTGCAAAAACATGGACAATGCGATATCTGACGAAGCGACACTAGAAAAGATTTACGTTGCGCATTGGAAATAGCGAATACCGCAGGCAACGGAAAGTTGGCTTTCATGGCGTTATTGAAGAAATTCGAAGTATATCGTCTATTAATCGAATGTACACTAAGTATTGCTGTATCATCTACAAAAATTTTTTGATAAAAGGTTTTTTATTACGGCTTAAATATTTACTGTGGCAAAAGGAAGTCATGATATAGTCTGGTTCGATTCTAAGATTTATTTTAATAAAAGTTTTTGTAAGATTTCGGACAATGTCGACACTGCTGCTGGAAGTTTATCAGTGGTACCTTTCGAACAAACAACTCAGATTCTTGTTTCGATGATAGCAGCCCAAGCGACACCAGCATACAATTAACTTGGCACAGCATGTTGTGTATATGTACTTTTAAGGTAATATTCAACTTTCGATGTTGAATAAAATAAAAGATTAATTTCTTATATCCCGTACACTATTTTTTTATTTTATTTATTTATTTTTTACACGCACATATGTACAGACGTACTGTAATGAGTTAAGCAAGCGATTGAACTTAAAAATACTGTAAGCTTATTATTTATAACAAAGTACTTAGCTTAGTTTTAGATTAACGGGAAAGGAGGGGAAATTTCGTTTATCGGTTTTCCTTCAATTTTCTTTGCTTTACAGGAATTGGAAATTAAGGTACGTATTCCAGTGGATAAAGGGTGAGTATTTCAGATTAGGGTAAACAATTCAAGGTGAGTATAAATTT